ACCAAGAATTGTAGGTAACTTGTTAGCTAACAACAATTTTTTTTTAAAATTTGGAAATTTAAATAATAGATAAAATACTTCTGAAACTTAGACAAAAATAGTTTTCAATAAGAAAATAAACTTGAGGTGTTTTGAATAAGAAGATATGAACATGAAGATTTTAGTTATCCCAGAGTTAATTTGCAGATTTAACAATAGCATTTTTAGTGGAAAGAGTGCTAGACAACTTGTGATTTGTCTTTTAAATTTTTATTTTATATTGGTTAGCTTACAAAGTTTGTATACATTGTGTTTCACACTATTCTTCATTCACATTGTGTTTCATACAATCATTCCCATTCATTATGTTTTATAAAATTAGTCACCATTGAACTATGCCCACAATTACACTCTTTTCAGGTCTCCACCCGATATTTTCCATTTCCTTTACCCTCTACCTCCTCCCACCAAGTTGTACAGCTTTTTGCCCTGACATAGCCTCATCCCTTGCTCCCACTCCTTACCCCCTTGGGTCTCCATACATGTTTTACTAATTATCCTTCTATTTTTACAATAATGGTCTTATGCATTATTTGTCTTTATAAGACTGAGTTTTAGACAACTTGTTTTTAAAATTTATATTGAAAAAGAAAAATAATCAGGGCTTTCATGAGAAAACAAACCAATAATATATGATAATTAAGTTTATTAGACATTAAATCATAAGGTAACAATGATTGGCAAATTGCTATGTAGTGATATATGAATGATTAGACAGCTGTTACTCTTTCAGTATTTCTGTGTCCTTTACTTGGCACACAGGATACCATACACTCAATATTGCTGTGCTCTCCCCCACCCTCTTCTTTTTCTCAGTATTTACTGGTTCCTCTCCATCTTTCTTTTCTCTAAATTTACAATGCCTAGATATCATTCTTCTGTTCTCTATGTACATTCACCCTCACTTGATTAGGGCAACCATTCTCTAAACATTAAATAATGTGTATAATGCTTAATATTTTAACTTAAAATTTTTTTTTTCTGATCTCTCCCCTAACCTTCAAGTTCAGACTTCCACTTGACATTTCTGCTTGGTATTTAGTAGACATATTTCAATCTAAAGTTGCCAAAAGTAACTCCTGATGATCATTTTAAGTCTTCCTTCAACCATTCTTTGTTGTAGTCTCATCACTGCTACTCTGAACTAAGCAACTATCATCTCTGTTCAAGATAACCACTGTACCTTGCTCAGAAGACTTCATGCTTGTACCCTTGTTTCCCTATATCCTTATAAAGAGAATTGTTAGAAGTCCTATTTGAAGATAAATGTAAGTAAAACTATGATATTCTTTATTTGAAAATTTGCAGTGGTTTCTCATTTTTCATAGAGTCACAACTCAATTCTCAATTCTTTATAATGTCCTTTAAGTTCCTCCATGCCACATACCTCTCTGATCAGACAGGCATTTGTTCTCCTACTCAGTCACTTAATTTCTGCCACATTAACATTCTTGTTGTGCTTTCTTATTTATTCATTTCAAATCTGCTGAAACGTTAACTGATCAACGATGCCTGGTCCCTTCACCATAGCAGTATGCTACTGTTATGTGCTGTCAAGCTTCCTGAGGCCTGATGCACAACATCTCTAAACTCTGCTCTCTTTTGAGCTAATGTTATTGTCTCTTGACACATCTACCCATAACCCCCATCACTGAGTCAGTCATCTCATCCATGGTCTTTCTTGTGCTATCTCTCTACCCTTCCAAGCATGATGTCCCCTCCAAGGACTCGTCCCTCCTGGTAATATTTTCAAAGTATGTCAGACTGAGCTTCAAAATCCGTGCCTTCATGGTGCACCTTTGTTTCAACCTCTTAAGGACAGACCTGTACTCTTAACTTTTCATGATATATTCAATTCTCTTTTCCAGCACCACTACTAAAAACCATTAATCATTCTTCTGTCATCCTTAGTCATTGTCCAGCTATCTGATGCATAGCAAGTAATTGTGAAGACTATGGTATGGATTAGTCTCTAGACTGAGCATTGCTGTTCTGTATTCTGGAGAGGTTCCTGACAGCAGATTTTCCCAGTGTAATTTGTATTTTGATTTCCTAGCTGCTGGTACTAGGAATATTAATTGCATATATTTTTAGATATTTTCAACAATCTTTTGCATCACCTCTTTTTGAAATTATAACTAACATGGAGTTTTTTTCTCAGGAAAATGATATATCTTTCTTCAAACTAGTGAGTAGATCCAGGACTACATCTGTTTCCTAAAACATTTCAGTTGCTATTTGATCAGTGTGTGAAGTTTTTGCCATTGTCTTCTGTGCATTTAAACTTCTTTCTTCATTCCTCTTGGTTCTTGGTCATATACTACTTCTTGAAATGAGTCAGTGTCGACCAGTTCTTTTTGCTAGATTAACTCTGTATATGCCTTCCATCTTCCTTTAATAGTTTCTGCATTATTCAAGATTTTGCCTGTAGCATTGCAACTTGAGGCTTGATTTCTTCTTCAGTTCTTTCACCTTGAGAAATGCCAAACACATCCTTCCCTTTTGGTTTTTTCACATCAGCTATTTGCCCATTTTGCTGTAATACTTTGCTTATACTTTGTCTTCCATAGTTTACTCTTTTTATTAATTTTTTAATTCCATTAAAATAATACTCATACATATGTATGTACATATATTTCTCCATTCTCATAGAAAAGGTCAAATACTATAATGTTCATGGCAGTTTTATTTGAGTGAATATTTATAGATTGGCTCTTCATTCTTTGTTTTATAATTCTAATTTTTGTTGTTGTTGAGTACCATCGAGTCAAACTGACCCATAGCTGACTCTCCAGTGGCTTTTCAGAAGCAGTTAATTAATTGCACTGGAAGAGATTGCCCATTCTTCTCCTAGTGAGCAGCTGATGAACTTGAACCAAGTCCCTTTGAGATTATAGTGAAATTTCATACCATAAATCGAACTTTACTTTTCCCACTTCCTCCCTGTAATTCTGATCTCCATAAATTTTTCTGTCTGTATTTTCTGCCTTCAGGACTTTATATTGTTCTTTGACTTTAATTCTAAGGAGTTTGAGTACCTCAGTGTTACTGACCCCTTCATAGACCTACCTGTCTAAAAAGATTCATTTTATTGCAGATTTTATTTATAATGTAGTCTGTTAGTTTTAAAAAGTTAGTGTCTTCCTGGTATTAGTGATCATCCATATAGGCCTGTTTATTATTTGGCTAAAGTTGAGCCACAAAGGGTGAGTTTTAGTCAGGGTTTGAAAGGTGATTAAGGGCCATAGTCTTAGAAGTTCTCCCTGTCCATCATACCAATATCCCTGATCTTTTTTGTATTTTCTAGTTTTGTCTCACGTTCTTCACCTCCAGCCCCCACTAATCTATCTGGGTAGTCTACTGTAATCTCTTTCTGAGTAATCAGCAGTGGTAACCAGGCACCATCTAGTACTTTTTATCTCTGAGTTGTTGAACTGAGGTTTGCATGGTTCATTAGTTTCCTTTAACTAATTGTTTTTATACATCTTTTCTTCCCTCTTTGTTCTAGAAAAGGAGAGACCCATAATTGTGCCTTAGATTGTTGCTCAGAAACATTTTTTATATTGTGATTTTAAAGAAAGTTTATAGAAAAGTTGGCTTTTCATTCATTGATTGTTCCCCATTTTCCTCCATACTCATGCCCAGTTCACTTTAAAGAAAAAAAAATGCATTCATTGTTGTTCACAGGCTTTTAAGAGCCGAGTCACTGCTCATCACTTAGTATGTAGAACCTTATCTTTATGAGCTGTGTTATACCAGTTGATTTTGATCTTGATTGCCTCCAAGAGGATGGTCCCAACGCCCCTGAACCAGCAACTGATTTTCAAAGAGTATTTGGTTTTTATTAAGAAGCCCACATTTAACAAAAAAGAACCTTACATAACATTGCCCCTAGTTGTCTCTGTTACTTACATATAGATGGTAATATAATAGACATATTTATAGCCTCTACTGCTAATATAAATGTAATAATGTTTGCCAGACCTGTGAGGGATTCTCTATGGTTTAATGATTACTGCTTTACAATATTTTTTAACATTTGCTAAGATGATTTTGCCCATCACTACCTAATATGTTTTTCTCCATTTAAAATATTCCCAGCTATTCTCACTTGTCTTATTTTCCCAAAAGAATATTTAATTAAATTTTAAAGCTTCTGAAAAAAAATCTGTTATATTTTTATTGAGATTGTATTTAAACTAAAAATTTGCTAAAGGAAAATTACCATTTTTATGATGTCTTTTATCCACAAGCATACTTTATTTTGTTTACATTTAAGTCTTCCTTGACCATTTTGTAATTAGCAAGAGCTTTTTAGTTGTTATCTAAAAGTAAAACAGACTATTGTGAAGTCATATCTCACATGTATAATATATATTGAAGATACATGTATAAAAGCAGTATACAGTAAATAACTTAAATAGTATTTCCAACTCTAAAATTTTGCATCAAAGCACTTTCTTAATATCTGTGTTTTTATCTCTTCCCCTTAATATAATAGAGACTTTATTGCTATTTCTGGAACATAGCTGAGAATAAGTTAAAGGAGTAGAATTAAATAAATTCTTCCGTATTTGTTTGTAATCTTTTAAGTCAGTGATGAAGTTTGGCACAGAAGTATAAAAGGTAAATGGGTATTATCACTATAAATATTTTAACTTAAAAGTCATACATGTATTTGCTTAATATGTATTTGATCAATTGGTCAAAGTTAATTTGCATTTTAAACTAATGTCAAAAGTCAACAAAAGTATCTTGATGGTTTGCGTTAATAGCAAATGAGCTACCAGACTCTGAATTTTTTGGGTAAAGATCAAATTTTAGTCAAGTTCTTAAAAATGCATATTGCCTTACTATTTGATACCTCACAAATGGTCATTCGCCTTGTTGAGTTGTAATGTTAAGCTGAAGTGATACTTAGGTTTACTCTCTCTGAAACCTTTTTCTTGTTCAAATTTTAGGATCCTTCAAAGTTGTACAAGAAAGCAGGTGATGTTGCAGCCATTCAGTGCCAGTCTGAAGAAAGCATCCATCTTCATTCACAGGGAGAAAACAACCCTTTGTCTAAGAAGCTTTCTCCAGTACACTCAGAAATGGCAGATTACATAAATGCAACACCATCTACTCTTATTGTTGGCCGGGATCCTGATTTAAAGGACCGAGCATTACTTAATGGAGGGACTAGTGTAACAGAAAAATTGGCACAGCTCATTGCTACTTGTCCTCCTTCTAAGTCTTCCAAAACAAAACCGAAGAAATTAGGAACTGGCACTACAGCAGGATTGGTTAGCAAAGATTTGATCAGGAAAGCAGGCATTGGCTCTGTAGCTGGAATAATACATAAGGACTTAATTAAAAAACCAACTATCAGCACTGCAGTTGGATTGGTAACTAAAGATCCTGGGAAAAAACCAGTGTTTAATGCAACTGTAGGACTGGTCAGTAAAGACTCTGTGAAAAAACTGGGAAGTGGAGCTACAGCGGTATTCATTAATAAAGACTTGAGCAAGAAAACAGGGACTATCACTACTGTAGGACTGGTGAGCAAGGATTCAGGAAAGAAGCTAGGAATTGGAATTGTTCCAGGTTTGGTGAATAAAGAATCTGGCAAGAAGTTAGGGCTTGGCACTGTAGTTGGATTGGTTAATAAAGACCTGGGGAAGAAGTTGGGTTCTACTGTTGGCCTGGTGGCCAAGGACTGTGCAAAGAAGATTGTAGCGAGTTCAACTATGGGATTGGTTAATAAGGACATTGGAAAGAAATTAGTGGCTTGCCCTATGGCAGGACTGGTCAGTAAAGAGGCCATAAACCTTAAAGCTGAAGCTCTGCTCCCCACTCAGGAACCACTTAAGGCTTCTTGTGGTACAAATATCAGTAGTCATGAAAATCAGGAACTTTCTGAAACCCTGAAAGACAGTGCCACCAGCAAAACTTTTGAAAAGAATATTATTCGACAGAGTAAAGAGAGCATATTAGAAAAATTTTCCGTTCGAAAAGAAATTATTAACTTGGAAAAGGAAATGTTTAATGAAGGAACATGTATTCAGCAAGACAGTTTCTCATCTAGTGAAAGGGGGTCGTATGAAACCTCAAAGCATGAAAAGCAACCTCCCGTATATTGCACTTCTCCAGACTTTCAAATGGGAGGTGCTTCTGATGCATCTACAGCTAAATCCCCTTTTAGTGCAGTAGGAGAAAGCAATCTTCCTTCCCCATCACCTACTGTATCTGTTAATCCTTTAACTAGAAATCCCCCTGAAACTTCCTCACAGCTGGCTAATACATTACTTTTAAAGCCTACTACAGAATTAATGGAAGAAATTTCTGAATCTGTTGGAAAGAATCAATTTACTTCTGAGACTCCACACTTGAGCATTGGTCATAGGTCTATAGGTCATATAATGAGCATTGACTGTAAAGGGATTGATAAAGAGCTAAATGATTCAAAAACTACACATATAGATATTCCAAGAATTAGCTCTTCACTAGGAAAAAAACCGACCCTGACTTCTGAATCTAGTATTCATACAATCACCCCTTCAGTTGTTAACTTCACTAGTTTGTTTAGTAACAAGCCTTTTCTAAAACTTGGTGCAGTAACTGCCTCAGACAAACACTGTCAAGTTGCTGAAAGCCTAAGTTCTAGTTTGCAGTCCAAACCATTTAAAAAAAGGAAAGGAAGGAAACCTCGGTGGACTAAAGTGGTAGCAAGAAGCTCATGCCGGTCTCCAAAAGGTCTTGAACTAGAAAGACCAGATCACTTTAAAAACGTTTCATGTAGCTCATTATCAAATTGTAATTCTGAGCCAGCCAAGTTCATGAAAAATATTGGAGCATCTTCATTTGTGGATCATGAGTTTCTTAAACGCCGATTGCCAAAGTTGAGTAAAGCCACAGCTCCATCTCTTGCTCTTTTAACAGACAGTGAAAAACCATCTCATAAGTCTTTTGCTACTCACAAACTATCCTCCAGTATGTGTGTCTCTAGTGACCTCTTGTCGGATATTTATAAGCCTAAAAGAGGAAGACCTAAATCAAAGGAGATGCCTCAACTGGAAGGTCCACCTAAAAGGACTCTCAAAATCCCAGCATCTAAAGTGTTTTCTCTGCAGTCTAAGGAAGAACAAGAGCCCCCAATTTTACAGCCAGAAATTGAAATTCCTTCCTTTAAACAAAGTCTCTCTGTGTCACCTTTTCCCAAGAAGAGAGGCAGGCCGAAGAGACAAATGAGGTCACCAGTCAAAATGAAGCCTCCTGTGCTATCTGTGGCTCCATTTGTTGCCTCTGAAAGTCCAAGCAAGCTGGAATCTGAAAGTGACAACCATCGAAGTAGCAGTGATTTCTTTGAGAGCGAGGACCAACTTCAGGATCCAGATGATCTAGATGACAGTCATAGGCCAAGTCTCTGTAGTATGAGTGACCTTGAAATGGACCCAGACAAAAAAATTACCAAGAGAAACAATGGACAATTAATGAAAACCATTATCCGCAAAATAAATAAAATGAAGACTTTAAAGAGAAAGAAACTGTTGAATCAGATTCTTTCAAGCTCTGTAGAATCAAGTAATAAAGGGAAAGTGCAATCCAAACTCCATAATACAGTGTCAAGTCTTGCTGCCACTTTTGGCTCTAAATTGGGCCAACAAATAAATGTCAGCAAGAAAGGAACTATTTACATAGGAAAAAGAAGGGGTCGAAAACCAAAAACTGTCCTTAATGGCATTCTTTCCGGTAGTCCGACCAGCCTTGCTGTCCTTGAGCAAACAGCTCAGCAGGCAGCTGGATCAGCTTTAGGGCAGATCCTTCCCCCTCTACTGCCTTCAGCTGCTGGTAGTCCTGAAATTCTTCCATCACCTATCTGCTCTCAGTCTTCTGGAACTAGTGGAGGTCAGAGCCCTGTAAGCAGTGATGCAGGCTTTGTTGAACCCAGTTCTGTGCCATATTTGCATTTACACTCCAGGCAGGGCAGTATGATTCAGACTCTTGCAATGAAGAAGGCCTCAAAAGGGAGGAGGCGATTATCTCCTCCTACTTTGTTACCGAATTCCCCTTCACACTTGAGTGAACTCACATCTCTAAAAGAAGCTACTCCATCCCCAATTAGTGAATCTCATAGTGATGAGACCGTTCCCAGCGATAGTGGAATTGGAACAGATAATAACAGCACCTCAGACAGGGCAGAGAAATTTTGTGGCCAGAAAAAGAGGCGGCATTCCTTTGAGCATGTTTCTTTGATTCCTCCTGAAACGGCCACAGTCTTAAGCAGTCTTAAAGAAAAACATAAACACAAATGTAAGCGCAGGAATCATGATTACCTCAGCTATGACAAAATGAAAAGGCAGAAACGAAAACGGAAAAAGAAATATCCTCAACTCCGAAATAGACAAGACCCAGATTTTCTTGCAGAGCTGGAGGAGCTAATAAGTCGTCTAAGTGAAATTCGAATCACCCATCGAAGCCATCATTTTATCCCCCGAGACCTCCTACCAACTATTTTTCGAATCAACTTTAATAGTTTCTACACACATCCTTCTTTCCCTTTAGACCCTTTGCACTACATTAGAAAACCTGACTTAAAAAAGAAAAGAGGGAGACCCCCTAAGATGAGGGAGGCAATGGCTGAAATGCCTTTTATGCACAGCCTTAGTTTTCCTCTCTCTAGTACTGGATTCTATCCCTCTTACAGCATGCCTTATTCTCCTTCGCCACTTACAGCTGCTCCCATAGGATTAGGTTACTATGGAAGGTATCCTCCGACCCTTTATCCACCTCCTCCATCTCCTTCATTCACCACACCACTCCCACCTCCTTCTTATATGCATGCTGGTCATTTACTTCTCAATCCTACCAAATACCATAAGAAAAAACATAAGCTACTTCGGCAGGAGGCTTTTCTTACAACCAGTAGGACTCCTCTTCTTTCCATGAGTACCTACCTATCCCAGCGTCCCTCCTGAGATGGCCTATGGTTGGATGGTTGAGCACAAACACAGGCATCGTCACAAACACAGAGAACACCGTTCTTCTGAACAACCCCAAGTATCCATGGACTCAGGCTCTTCTAGATCTGTCTTGGAGTCTTTGAAGCGCTATCGATTTGGAAAGGACACTGTTGGAGAGCGATACAAACACAAGGAAAAACACAGGTGTCATATGTCCTGCCCTCATCTCTCACCTTCAAAAAGCTTAATAAACCAAGAACAACAGTGGGTCCACAGAGAACCTTCAGAATCTAGTTCATTGGCCTTGGGATTGCAGACTCCTTTACAGATTGACTGTTCAGAAAGTTCTCCAAGTTTATCCCTTGGAGGATTCACACCCAACTCTGAGCCAGCCAGTAGTGATGAACATACAAACCTTTTTACAAGTGCAATAGGCAGCTGCAGAGTTTCAAACTCTAACTCCAGTGGCCGGAAGAAATTAACTGACAGTCCAGGACTCTTTTCTGCACAGGACACTTCACTAAATCGGCCTCACAGAAAGGAGCCATTGCCTTCCAATGAAAGGGCAGTACAGACCCTGACAGGTAAGAGGGTTCTTTTGTTATTTGTGATTAATTCTTTTGCCCCCTGGTTATCTGGTATATGCAGCTCATTATGTTCACTGTTTTCTGTTTTTAAAATGTATCTTGAAATCTTTTCTTCAGTGTTATTACTTTCCTTAGTTAAAATTAGGATAAGATATCTTTCCATTGGTTTTGTAGTTTGAAGAGTCCTGGGTAATGAAAGCAGTTAATTGCTGAGCTCCTCATACTCATGCAGAGATGGCAGTTCAGACCCACTCAGTTGTGACTCAAAAGAGAGACCTGGAGATTTGCTTCCGAAAGATCCCAAACTTGAAAATGCTCTGGAGCAGTTCTCTGTCTCCATGAGTCGGAATCAACGTTTTAAGAAGAATAAAAAACAAAATACACATGAATACAAAACTTTAGAAAATTGAGATAAATGGTTTGCCTTTCCTAATTTAAAGATCATGACATAACTTTTTTAAAATATAGTTCGTAAATATTTGTTAGTAGTTTTTAGAATTTTTAATAGATATTAATAAGTACATGTATTTTCTGTGCTATACAGAAAGAATACTATTAATTCTATATGCCTTCTAATGAAAATCAGACATTGGAAAATATCAGTCCATTATAAAATTTAATCAAATATCCAAAGGGACGTTTTGTTTTCACTATGTGGAATGTTTTGGCTGTCTTTTGGCCTTTCTAAGATTCATTCGAGTTAGATGCTACTTAAACAAATCTTAAAATGGGCTTTAAAAAAAATGGCCATATTATGCTATTGATAAACTGCTGCTGTTTTTTCCGGGGGTGGGGGGGGGATCTAAAATACCAGACCACACTAAACAACTTTTTATAGTTTCTACTGGTTATAATATTTTTTTTAAAAATTTCCAATCCTTGGTTAATCTAACTATTCAAAAATGCCTTATTCACCTCTACTCCGTTCCATGCTCAGAGCTAATATCCAGTGTTTTGTTAATCCTTGAGTCGGCTCTGATAGCAACTGTACATACAACAGAACAATACTTTTGTCCTACAAAAATAAAAGGAGCTCCTAGACTACCAGCTTCACCCTAACCCTTGTTTATATCTGAAGATACAATTAAAATAAAATTAAAAATGTCATTAAAAGTTTACCTTAAAAAAAAGTCTGATGATCTCTATAGTTAAGAATTTACTTCCATAAATTTTACCCACAATGAGAACAGTACAATTTTATTTTTACCATTCATATTTCTCTTTTTTATTTCAATGGCATACCAGTGTGGTTACAAGGTAAATACTAGTTTTTATCAGTTGGTTTTAGTAAAAATGACTGTTTTTAATGGAACTTCCTTCTTTCATCTCTAACTTTCAGTAATGTATTAATGTCTAATATGTATTTAACAGACTCTGAAAACCTGCTGGAGATTCGGCTATGAGTCGGTTCTTATTCAGTGGCACATAGCAACAATATAATTTTATAAAAGCTGCTTTGGTTCAACATATAGAGACTTGAAACAAAATCTTGAATATTGCATTTCTTGCATCTGGAAAATACCTTTTAGGAACTGTGATAGAAATAGAAAACAAGGAATAGGAAGTGTTGACCTTTCAAACTGAAGATATCCCTATGTCAGGAGGATTTGTCAGGAACCTCAATATAAAAGTTTGAAATTAAAAAAAAATTTAAAAATTTTAAAAAAGGTTCAAAATTAACTATATGAAGTCTATGAATCTTCTGATGTAAGTAAAATCATGTGTGCCTGTATAGTTTTGTGAAACAGCCCTGGTGGCAAATCAGTCAAATGTTCAGCCGCCGCCTAAATTGTCAGCAGTTCGAATCCACCAGTCATTCTAAGGAAGAAAGAGTTACCTGCTTTGTAAAGACAGGATCAATATCAATTGAAATCAATTCAGTGGCAATGGGTTTGGCTTTGATTTAAATATGTATATGTTTTTCTAGAGAAAGTCTCTGTACTTTCATTAGCTTCTTTAAACAAAATCTCTAAACATCACTGTCTCCTGTAAGTAGGAATAATACATTTATTATGAGGAATAAGTGACATTTCAGTTCTTAGCCCAGTGATTTGAACATGTTGTTTGTGGCTTCCATTATTCCTTAAAAGGTTAAACATACTTGCTTTTGTGGAAAAGGATAAACTCCTAAATGGCAAAAGAAAGTTGTATTCCTGATTTTCATTATTTTTGAAGTTTTGAAAAAAATTAAAACTTTACTAGTGCAAAATGTTGTTTTCTTTATATTTTAGCAGTGTGATAGAGGGTAAAAATATATCCTACTCTTTAATTGGGCTTATTCAGTAAATTCTGAACCTAACCAACAATAATTACTAGATAAGATAGAACAGTTAATAACTACTGAAGGAAAAGTTGGAGGTTTAATTTTCCCAGAGGCTACTTAGAAGAAATGACTGGCAGTCTTGTTCTAAAAGTTCACAGCTATTCAGATTTCTTTGAGTGCTGTTCTGTTCTGAAATAAATTGGTTTGCCATGAATCAGAATTGACTTAATGATGAATGCCTTTGTTATGTAATAGGGAACAAGATGGATAAAAGCAACAATAATTACACATTAAAAGTCACTAAAATGCTGATAAGAGTGGTGTGTCTGTGTATGTACATGGACATACAGAGTTCTGTAAAAGCATGAGGTTGGTAGTCTAGCTTAGAGAAGGCTTCCTAAACTCAGACCTGAAGAATGAATGGCACTTAGCTGGATAAAGAGTTCTTATCTTTCATTCATTCACTAATTCATTTATTTAGAGAACCATTTATTGAATTTCAGTTCCACCCAGCATTGTTCTAGTCACTGGTATAGCAGAGAACAAATGATGATACTTGTTTTAACTTACTTTCAGCTTAGTGAAGCAAGACAGGATAATGTGGTAGAAAGAAAAAAATAGTACCATTTATTGAGAAAATGCTACAAAATTAATAAAATGTTAAAGAACAAAGAAAATTTGGTAAAAGATGTTGGTAATGACCTGGGAATGAAAAAAAAAAATCATACTTGAAAGATGAGAAGCCTGAATTAGTTTTTTAAATTGGAGTTGAGTGAAGAACAAGTTTTAGTATCTTGAATTGGAAGAGCTTAGATAATAGAGGAATGGGGGGAAAAAATAGAGGAATGGGGAAAGGAAGGTTCATTATGGTAGAAGATAGAATAGAGAATGCAAAAGAACAAAAAAAGGAAGAGAAAGAAAAGAAAACTCCCAGCAGACCATATCTTTACTATCATTTGTAGATTTGTGCTTTACACAGGATATTCTGAATCCTGTTTTGAACACTGAATTGGAAAGGCCAAAATATAATTAAAGGAAAACCAACTAGTAGCTTATTTTCATGCTCTTGATGGGATAATGCCATTAGATCAGGGTGGTGGCCGACTTCTGTATGGACCATTGAGAAATTGAGCAGAGAAGAATAGGAGGGAACAGACACAGAGAAAGAAAGTATTTACTTATAAATGTATATGAAATCTTAAGTTTTTGTAGAACATTCAGAATGGAATATGTCTTTTTCAGGCAATTGTATTTCTTGGTCTAGAGATTAGTAAGAAAGTTTAGGTTAGAGATAGGAGTATTTCACTATGTTTGAAAAACTTTGCCAGTACCAGTCACAAAAATAAAAGGACTTTGGAGAGTTAGGAGCAGATTTTTAAAACCTTTGCAACTTTGTAACACCAAAAGTTATAATAGCAATTTTAAGAAATATTAGCATCCCTTAAAAACACACAGTTAAATTTAATACTTCAGGAAGCGTAACAGGTGACTTCTTTGTAGTTTGATAGAAGGATGTGTAAAGAAAGGTTGAAGCTTCTCAATTAGAGGCACAAATAATCATTGACAAATAAACACCAAAGATAACAGATTCTGGTTTATTATCCTGTTTCTTTTGCCTGACGGTGGATGGAAAGCACATAGTCAGCACTTGGCTGATAGTCAGATGTAGTTAAGAGATATGAGAAAATGAATAGGAACACACACAATGCTGGAGTCTGACTTCTGCCTACTTCATAAAGAGGAACTTTCCCCATCAATAATATCTGTATTACCAAACTAGCTAAAAGGTCAGATATACCACCTCCCATATTCCTACACCTTTTTCTACCAATGATTGGGTCCAGTGACTACTCAACAGTTGTTGGATTTATTAAGGAAATAGGATAGAGAACGGGGAAGGCAAAGAATATCACACAATTCAAGTCCAGGTTTAATCTAGTGGTTTCACGCCAGTTTAACAGTAAGACACCATTCTTCAGTTAGTGAAAGACAGCTTCTCACTTAACCAGTGAAAATCTAAGTTCAGTTAAACAGCACAAGTGTAAGAATCCTCTGGCTTCCTCAATTATATAGCCAACCTTAGAGTAGCTATAAGTCACCTTTTCCTTCAATCATTCAGCAAGCAAAACCTTTGACTGTGTCCTTTATCTCCAGGGTTCTCTCTGTTGCTTGTCTCTTCACATCTGTGCTACAGTCTCTTCACACACTCTCCACTGCTGGGTCTCACAGCGTCTTCACAGTCCCTCCACCACTGTCTCTACCATTTTTCAGAGTGTAAAAACAATCTCTCATATTGGCCCCACAGCTGTTGATGATTTGCAAGACCATGTTTCTATAGTAAAGGTACCTGGAAACCTCAACGGGGACTAACACAATGTCTAGAATAGCCAATTTTCAAGGGTTCTGACACCTCATAATTTTAAACAGAAATTTAATGCTTGTAGTATATTACCATTAGTCTGTATCAGTGTGTTCTTTGTTCAACTACTAACAGTACTGCGAAACATTAATGTGCTCTGAAAAGTGATATATGACAACTACAATATAATCATGTTATCATTCTTCTGTTAACCATTTGTATATGAAATACTTTATTATATAGAAACATAAGCCTTAACAAAATAGGTTGTTTTTATGAGTTGTCACTATATATTTAATGGCATTGAGAATGGTAACTCTCAGTGGAGAGACTGTTAAATGGAAATAGAATATATATCTTGGACAGTTCTGGAGA